CACTTTATTCATCTGGCATTGACAGGTGACCTGAACTCTGCCTTTCCGGCATGTGTGTTGTTGGTTTTGTTTTGTTTTTTAAAATTTTCTTTGGTTTCTTGGGAATCTAGTGATCAGTTCAATGATCAAGATGCATGGACTTCCTGTGACAACACCCTGAGAGTCCTTCTCCCTGGAGAAACCAAGTATGCCCTTGCCACATCCATTAACAAGGCAGCATTGTTCTGTAGAGCCGTATACCTTTTTGTTTCACGTGCAGTTTCCCTGTGGCTGATCTCTGTACAGTTTCCCTGCACTGTATAGCCCTCTAGACTCTCAGTTTGAACATGTCTGGTGAGCTTGAGTATTGTTTTCCTACGAGCCTGCTGTCCTGCATCACTGAAGGGCAGGATGGGGAAGACAGTCCTGGTTTCTGTTGTATGCAGTCGGTCTGGTTTCCAGCTGAAGGCTCATTCATGTGGCAGAGGTGTGTAAACAGCGTGGAAACCTCACTTGAGGACACTCTTGATCTTTTCTGGAATATGAGCTTCCTTCTACAGAGTGTTCCTGACCTTGGACTTGTGTTGGGAGCTCTGATGGCTTTGGAGTGATCAAGACTTGGGAAAGGGAAGGGGGTTGATTCCCAATCTTCTAGCTTCGTCTGTGGTTTCATCTGCCTCAGCAGGGATGAGAACCCCTGCCTCGCTGACTGCTCTGAGAAGTGCTCGCAACAGCCCGTAGACACTGCTGGAGTCGGGTCCCCGGGGGCTGATGAGCTGGGTGTCCAGGACTCCCTGACTCCTGCACAGAGCTATTCTGCCGCAGATGGGATTTAAAACTATACTCCATGTGTCTGCCACTTCTTGTGGAAGCTGAGGGCAAGGATTTTTTATAACAGAAATGTGCTCTTTTTTTCCCCAAGCTGTTTTTCTTAATATTTTTTAAAAGACTTTTTCATTAGCTCTTTGATATAAAACCTAGATACATTAAAGGGGGGATGGCATAGCCAAATAAAAAGGGAATGCATTGTGTTTTCATGGGCATCAGCTGGAGATCTACAAAAGAAATGGAAGAAGAGAAGAAATTCTGGAAAAACTGAGCCCTTAGCTGGTCCAGACTCTCTTTTTCGTGCACTATGAACAATCCTTTGCTTCTGACTATAGGAAACCTCCCCCAGAAAACTGCAGGAAGCCCCCAAGAAGCCCTGGAGCTCTAAAAGCCCAACATTACATGGGGGTAGATGCTGGGGGTAAGAAGGGAGTCAACTAGGACCAGAAAAAAGGGGGGACAGGTCGCGACATCTTCAGCTTGCTCTCCAGCTGTTTGCTAAAGAAACTTATCCAAAATCAAGGCTCCTCACAGGGTAAGAAGCACGCAGCTCAGCAGGATAGGGTTTGGCAAAGCACTGTTTAAATAAATAGTAAGATGTATCCTTGTCATGATTTCTCTCTGTTCTTGTTTGGAAATACTGTAGTTGAGTCTCTTCATCTAGATGGCAAATAGTAGCAATATTTGTTGTCACCAAAATAGTGGAGGAAAATGTTTGCGAGAGTATCAAATTTGGGACACACTGCTATCAGGCTGCCACTGAACTGCAATTTTTAACATGGATTTGTAACTTAATGTTTCTGTTTATAAAATACTAATGATTTGCGATGTATTTTACTGGCCAATTAAAACAGATGTTTTATTCTTTCTGAGGCCTGGGTTGGTTTTTCCAGGGTGCACACTGGCAATTACACACTTGGGGGTACTGGTGGGAGTACATCTGTGTGGGTGGGTGGGAGAATAAATTTATGTGGGGGAGGGAAGGAACAGTGACACAGCTAGGAAAAGTAGCTCTGATGGCTGGCATTGAGCTGTGCGGCTCTGGTTCAGAGCTGGAAACAGCTATGAAGTTCTTCAGGACAAATGTGTAAAGGGTCAGCTGGTGCTGAGGATGGCGGAAACCGGGTTCTGTTGGGAATCTCTCATGGAGGCTGGACATGAGGTGGCCGACTCAGAGAAGACTGGACAGTCAGACTCCATCACATACTGCAAGCTCCAGCGTGCAAGCTGTCCTTAGTGCTGTGGACCCAGAGGGAGCCAGCGGCAAGTTTCAACACAAGCGAAGGATTGAGGTAATAGAGTGGCAGCTCCTCTACTGAAGAGACAGCTCGGAAGGTAGTGCTTCTCCCTGTCTGATAGGCAGAGCAGTCCTTCAGCGTTGCTTTCCGGGCTAATGGTTCTTCCTCCTAGAAACATAATAGAGAGTTAGGGAAGATCAGATTGAAAAGAAGACTTGTTCTGGGCAGAGAGCCCTCTCGCATCTTCAGGAAGTAAGAGCTTTAATTGCATTTTCTTGCTTTTTTTCTTTTCCTACACCTTTTCCCCTCACTTCATTCTCCATCCACCATTTGATTTTTCACTTGTTTTCCTTTTAATTCGAGCCTGAGACAGCCCTGTTTCTTTTTTTCAATTGTCTTTTTTTTTTCCTTATACAAGTTAGAGTGAACATGTCTCTCAATTACCTTATTGTCCTTAATGGAGACAGACATAATCCTTTAGATTGGAAATTGTTCCACACAGTCAGCCCTGTTTCTTAACAACTTTTTCCTTAAAAAATGAGACCATTCGACTTTGACAAACAGAGACAGATGTTTTGGAAGTGGAGGTGGGGAGCAGCAGGTACCCAGGTCTGACAGATGCACTGTTGGCCACAAGGTGAAGAATGCCACTACCTTCCAGGAGATAGTGAGCTGAGGAGGAAACCTGTCCAGTGGTGGTAGAATGCCCAAGGGACATTTCCACGACTAATTCTTTATAAAATCACACTATGTCATCTTTCCCCCATGGAGGACCTGAAGGGTTCACACTTCCACTTAACAACTGAGTATTTTACTGTGCTCTTTATTTTAAGAACCTAAAGCCAAACTCATTACCATTGAGTTCATTCTGACCCATAGTGAACCTATAGGATAAGAGTAGAATTGCCTCATACAGTGTTCATTCAAGGCTTTAACTCTTTACAGAAGCAGGCTGACACATCCTTGTCCTATGGAGCAGCTGGTGGGTACGAACCACCAACCTTCTGGTTAGCAGCCCTAGAGCCTGTCTGCCAAGGCTCCTTTTATTCTAGAGGACATGCTGGATAATTAGGGAAAGACAAGAAAGCCATTTCAGTGCCACTTCAATGCTGAACAAAATCCGGAAAACCTCAACACAGTCTTGCTTTCTGATTACTCGGGGCTGGGGTGAATGGAGGTGGTACAGAGGCCAGAGCAGGCTAGGTGCAGTTGGAAGGTGGCGTCCAGGTTTTCCAGAACCAGGATCAGGCACAGGATGAGGATGGAACTAACCAGTCAGCCTGAGCCCAGGAGCAGAGGTGTGAGGGTGCCAGAGCTCAGGAAGTCAACATTCAAGGCAAGGCCGACAGGCAAACGTAGGAACCAGGAATACAGAGATTATGGGAAAACATTGCCAAGTTGGAGCTAAACTGTAGAAGGGAGGCTAGAGGGCCGATACGGTATTCTATGCGAGAGGCGGGAGTAGAAGAGAGGAGACGGTGGGAAGGGAAGGGCAGGTTAGCCTAAAACCTTTCTTCCAAGTATTCCCAATGCAGGGTCCTATTTGTCTTTTTGTAGACACACTATGTATCCACTTGTTCTTTCACACGACAGTGTATCAAATGAAAGAGAAACCTTTCTGCTTTTGGGGTTTTGGGTTCTATTTGAAATGCTTCCAAAAGGACCAGAACCACTTGTTTTCAAGTAGCTTCTGACTCATTGTAAAATCCTGTGTGTCACAATAGAACTGTAGGGCATGTGGTTTGGTGTGACTGATTTCTCAGTAGCCAGGCCTTTCTTCTGAGTGATTTTCGACTGTTTAGTTAGCAGCCGAGAGTTATGAGATGTTTAGATTAGCATAGATTATCCCAGAATAGCCCTGTCAAGGTCAATAAAAGCATTAAAGCAGTGGTTAATTGTCTACTCCTGGAGGATTCCGGTGACAGGGATCAATCAAATGCTTGGCTAGATGACAAGATGGCATTAAAGTCTCTCATGTCAATATTCTATGACTTTTTATGCAAAAGAAATAAAAATCTGGAGCCCCAACAAATGTTATCTGGATGGCTTGTCAGCTCACATTGAACTGCGCACTGAGCTGTCTGGTTCACCGAATGCCTGTCACCAGGTCCTTCAAGGAGAAGGCCTATGCAGAATTTGTCTTTTCTTGGCCTTGCATGATTGGAGGAAAGGGAAGAGTTGCAATAGGACATGAGGAATTTTCTGATTACACTGAAAGCACAGAAATGCCATTTGAGGGCCCTATGATTCAAAACTGCTTTCGATTGGAGTGAAGAACCTTGAGGTGCTTCTGCTGTTCAAGGTAAGGGGACAGGACACTGTTAGACACACTGGGGACAAAGCCATTGACAGTCATTTAGTAGCAATGCCCTGTTAGCGGTTCGTTCGCCTGCCAGGCAGGCAGTGACCATACACTGCAGTTCAGAGTCTGACAATAGTTACCTCCTTTGCACATTCCTCCATCTTCTTGAGTTTGATCAGTATTGAATTTTTCAAGATTATACAATCTAGAAAAACAGTTCAAAAGCTTGAGGTGGCTAAAAGACCATCTATGAGATGAAGGTATTAATCCCTAAGAACTCCTGGCTGAGGTCTGCTACCTTGCCCCTTCTAGTTTTTCCTTTGGTGGAGAAACCAGTGAAGTGTCCAAAAAAGAAAAGAGAAGAAACTGGGAAACTGAGCAAAATGTGCAAGTCCAAAACTGTCAAAATGAAATGCACTGGCCCCATTGGGTCTGAGATGGGTTAACCCCTGGTTGGTTTGCCGTGATGTCATAGAGGTCACATAGCAACAGGTGGACTTCCCTCTGTAGCAAGCACACTTGGGCCTACTTCCCTAGAGAAGAAATTGCAAGTGAGCTTTGAAACCATGCTTTCTGTCTAAGATTTTATTCCAAGGGTCAACATCCCTCTTCTTTCCCACAATTGAAATTTTTTAAGAAAGGAGACAATACTAATGGAGAAGGAGAACTCGAGCACGTTCAGGAGGCACCACCGGCCTGTGCCTGGAGCCCCTCCTTTGGGAGCGACATCCGGGCATTACAGAGCGACTAGTGAGGCAGCTGAACTTCAGAGGAGCAAGAGTGCGGGCAGCTTACACCAGAAGGGGGATCCTCCAAGCTGCATCCAGAAGCCGCCGACTGAATTGGGTAAGAGAAAGGCTCTAACTTTGAGGGCATGTGTGGCTGGGCAGAGAAAGGAAGGGATAAACCCTTTAAAAAAGAAAGGGAGCCTGTTAGGGACCGCTCCCATTCCCACAGCTGCTTTTCTCAGAATCCTAACAACCAAAGATGAGCACTTCCCAGAAAGAAAGCTCACTCTACACACTGAGGTGAACAGGTGAGGTTCTTCACACCTGGAGGTGACATGAGAAGCCTGGGATCTCCAGGCAGGTGATCTCTCTCAGGTACAACAGTAATTGACTGGTGGGTGACCAGTTAAAAAGCTCTGTTGAAGGACAGGATGGAGTGTTATGGGAGGAGAAACACACAAAAGGCAGACACATAGGAAGCCCATTCCAAACCATCAAAAACACTGTAAGAGAACAATTAATCAGCTGAACTCCAAGTCTGACCTCACACTACAAGTTTCTTGGACCTATAATGAATCCTTGGGGACTGTAATTGTGCTTCTGAGGCAGGCCTCAATTCCTTTGCAGATGACTTCTGTGGAATTGCCAAGGGATCTTGAGTTAGCAGGGAATTCTTGGCAGTTGATGCCAGCCTATAATTACACTTGACACTAATAGGATTTTAAATTGTAAAATGTGTAAGTTTCTGTTTTATATCAAGCAGTATTTGACACTCTGGTATTTCTTAATATGTAATGTAGGACTGTCCTATTGAGCAAAGAGGAGACTGAACGACAGTAGCATTGAACTAATTTAATAGAATTATACTATGAATGTTAATTCCGACTCTTTATCCAGTTAAGCATCTTATAGAACCTTTCCTGGTCAATGTCCCAGCCCCATTGTAATGCTAAAGGCTGCTTTAGCAATTTTTTGTTTCTTGGGATCCCAATTAACCACATAAACTTCCATGCAGGTACTCATGCCCTTTGTAAGGTTGTCTGCAGGGTTTTTGAAATATGACTTTCTTGTTCAAGTCTTGTTGCTGTTCGGTATCACTGAGTGGACTACGACTCTTAGCAACACTCTGAACAACAGCTCTGCACTTTGCGCTGTCATGTGATCTCTGATATACTCAAAGCCATTGTTACAGTCTCTCTGCAAACCTATCTCACTGAGAGTCTTCCTTTTGTTCTCTGACCCTCCACCTTCCTCAACATGATGCCTTTTTCCAAGTACTGACCCCTCCTGACAACATGCCCGATGCATGCAAGATTAAGTTTCACTTTTCTTGTCCCCAAGAAACACCTTGGATGCACTTCCTCCAAATCAGACTTGTTTATTCTTCTGTCAGTCCATGGGATAGTCAGTACTCTTCTCCAGTACTATAATTACGAGGCATCAGTTCTTCAGTCATCCTTATTTATTGTCCAACTTTCAGATGCATAGGAAGCAATTGAAAATACTCTGAAGTGGACTAGGCACACCTTAGTCTTTAAACTGATGCCACTGCTCTTTAGCACTTTGGAGGGCTTCTTGGCAGTACACTTTCCATATACAATACATCTTGATTTCTTCATCACTATGACCATAGATATACCTTGCAGAGCATCATAAAATAACAGTTGGCAATTTTAATCTTTTCTACATGTATCATGATATTGCCTAGTGGTGAAGTGGTGAAGACTTTTGTTTTCTTGACATAGAGGTGAAATCCACATTGAAAACCGTAATATTCTATCTACTGCAGCAAATACTTTAAGTCCTGTTCATTTTCTGTAAGCAAGATTGTCATGTCATCTACACAACACTGGTTGCTGAGGAGTCTTCCTCCAACCTCGATGTCAGATTCTTCTTCATAGAGTCCAACTTCTCAGATTATAACATGAAAGGAAATATCCCATCTTTTTTTCTGTGGAGCCACTAGTGGATCTGAACCACCTGAAGACACGTTCTTTGAATTTTCAGCACAACTCCCTATAGACTATGAGACGAGGGGAAATGTAATAGGTTCCTCCAATTCTTAACACCTTGAGTTTCAACTTTCTAGATGATTTAATGCTGGGAATTATGGAATTCTAAGACGAGCCCCTCCATTATTATTTCAAATATCACCTAAAGAAACTTCAAAGTGTTTTAATATTTTAAATTAGTCATTTCAGACTGCCAAGTTAATTCCTTCCTTTGGAGAACTTAGTTGCAAATCTTAAGGAATCCAGAGAAACCAAGACTGTACTAGAAGGTTTAATAGTTAGAGGTGGTTGAAAGAGTGGCACAATTGCCAACCCTACACCTACAAAATGCCATTCTCCTCTTACACAATGTATCTCTTTATTTTCATACTATTACCACCATTTAAAATTTCTCCCAAGACTTGAACAATTTCAGAACAAGAGAACACCGCATGAGTTAAAATCAGGAAAAGTGTGCATGAGGGTTGTATCCTTTCTCCGTAACTATTCAACCTATATGCTGAGTAAGTAATTTGAGAAACTAGACTGATGAAGAAAATAAAAATCAGCCCTATAGGCTTGGAAGCCCACTGTTTGGAAACATGAAGAAGACAAAAGTCTTCACCACTGGACCGAAAAGCAACATCATGATAGATGGAGAAAAGTTTGAAATCATCAACAACTTCATCTTTTTGGATGAAAAATCAACACCCTTCGTATTAGCAGTCATGAGACATATTGCATTGACAAAGTCCACTGTCAGGGACCTCTCCAAACTGAGGAACAATAATGTCAGCTTGAAGACTAAGATGTGCCTGATTCAGGCCATGGTCTTTTCAGTCACTTGCTACACATCTGAGACTGGACAGTAAATAAAGATAACAGAGGAGGAATTGATTCCTTTGAGCTGTGGTGTTAGAGAAGAGTACTGAATTATCTGCCAAAAGAACAGACATGTCTTGGAGATAGTGCAGCCAGAGTGCTCCCTGGAGGCAAGAATGGTGGCACTTAGTTTCACATGCTTTGGTCTTGTTGCTAGGAGAGGCTGGTCCTTGGAAAGAGACATCATGATGGGAAAAGTGGCGTGTCAGAGAAGAAGAGAGAGCCCTTTAACAGGTTGATTAACTTGGTTGCAGCAGTAATGAGTTCAAGTGTGTCAGAGATTATGAGAACACAAGATAGGATAAGGTTCAGATCTGTTGTTCATAGTGTTGCTATGAATCATACCCAGCTTGATAGCACCTAACAACAACAAACTGACTGTAGCACAGCTAAAAATTGCTTGCATACACCACACCTCAACACCTGGCAAAGATCACCACACTTATGCCTAAAACTCCCCTGCAGGCACAAGGACCCTAGGTAGCTGGTATTGCAGATAGAGCCAGGAGGGTGAGACAGCAGTTCTTCTACTTATCAGCCACAGAATATGAAGAAGAATTGCTTAACTACCTAAAGTTTCAGATGGGGAAAAGTTGCCTTGCCAAATGAATTAATCTTCTCATTAGTTTTATGCTTTCTTTCCTTGTATATTTAGTAAGCTTGTACAATTTTCTGTATTTATTGAGCTTGATCCTGGCTTGTATTAAGAAATACTGAGATGAATGAGACGGTGATTGCCATCAAAGTCAAGGAGATGTTTGTGTAAACGACCATGACTTCTGTGATGGCTGCAACTCTAAAAACAGGATATGAAGCCACACTGAATGGGAGTAGCCAATTTGCAGAGGAGCACAGAGACATGAGGAGGTGGTCAGAGACAGTTTCTGCAGAGTATGACATCTGAGCTGAGTGCTGAGAGATAACTGAGCTTGGAGATAAACAAAATCCAGGCTTGGGAGGGGTGTTCTTAGAGAGGAACAGCAAGAGCCCAAACAAGAGTCTGCTGTGTTCTTGAACCATAAATGGCCTTATTGCTGCATTTACCTCACACGCTCAGCACCACCCCAACCTGTTCTAAGTCCTTACACGTGCTTCTTTTCTCTACAGAATCTGAAGATCAGGGGAAAGACTCACGAAGTGATGGAGAAGATTATACCTGGTAAGAAGGTATTTTGTTTTTCAGTGCTAAAAATGGTGAAAAGGTAAACTTGGTAAGTACAGGCTATGAGGTCCAGATGTAAGTTCAAGATTTAGAAGTGTGTCACAGGAGTCCCTGAGTCCCCAGACAGGACAGATTTGAGAAGTGCTTCTTGTCTGGAGAAATGCATTGTCATGGAAACATGTCCTAAAGTGGTTGTTAATGCCATGTGCCAGTTCCCTGTCCCTCCCACCATTGTTTTTGGAATAATCTGACTGTACCTTGTCCTAACTCTCTTGTTATTGTTGTTGTTATGTGCCATCAAGTCGCTTGCGACTCATAGCAACTCTGTGTACAAGAGCCCTAAACCCTACTCTATCCTGTGCCAATCTTACTGTCACTGACACACCTACTCTCATTACCCCAGTCACTGAATCAATCCATCTCATCGAGGGTCTTCCTCTCCTGCGCTGTCCCTCCACTCTCTCAAGCATGACATCCTTCTCCAAGGAATGATTCCACCTTGCCACATGTCTAAAGTATGTCAGACGAAGCTTCAGAATCCTTGCCTCCAAGGAGCAGCCTGGTTTCACCTGAATGTCTTAGAACTGATCAATTCATGGTCTCAGCAAACAACCAAACAAAAACTCTCCTCAGAAGTGTTTTTTCACTCTAACAGACTGTGGTGGTTCACCAGGGGCTCCTTTGTCGAGCCTGCGTTGTAGTCCATAGGGAGATGCACTAATAACCAACCAAGAGTTCATATCTCTCTGGGAGTCCTACCAGTGAATCTTACCAGTGACTCCAAGGGAAAAGGAAATGGGCAATCCTCCCATGAGACTTACAGCTCTTGAAAATTCACTGAATGGTCAGTTATAATTCTTCTCCTACTCACCAGCAATGAGTGAGTTCGAGACTGGAAATATAACCAAACCGGCAAATTGTTTTGTTGAAAAAAGTAAAAGATGTGTGAGGCGGCGGGGTCTGAGAAAGCCTCATAGTTTGGTCCTGCCCAGTCCTCAGCTCTCAGCACTGCTTCTGCATGTCCATCTTCCCTTACCCATGGCCCTCTCTGTTTTCTTCATCTCGTTTCCCCAACCACTCAAGCTCCTCCCATTAAAAGCCTTAAAGTAATTATATTGACCAAGACATTTATTCTTTCTTTTCAAATACTAACCAAAATGATTCATTAGCATCATGTGCAGGTCATAGAGCATAAGCCACTTTTGTTTACAAGTGGCTTTCCTTGGTTAGAGACTCACAAAGATCTGCTCACATGCCCAGATCATCAATGGCTAGATCATGGAGAGCCAGACCTGAAACATGTCCTCCCTGCAATGTTTGAGTAAGGTGAGGACATCCTCAAAAGGACTTACTGAGCATGGAGGAAGATCCGTGCCTTTACTGTGGCACTGCTGTGCTCTGTGCTTTCATTTTCCAGCCCAAGAGGCACCACCATCTAAATCCCCAGTTATGCAGGGAAAAGTCCCCTACCATCTTCACTCTGTTATATAATTGCCTTTGTTCCAGAAGATCCAAATAGAAGGCAGGACAAAGAAGGCACCTAGTTTGGAATGAGCAACAGCAGAAGCAGTCACAGACCTCAGCCAAACCCGCTGATTCATGTGGCTCCACAGGTACCCGTCTAGACCGAGTTGTGTACTGCTGCAGGAGTGAGCACATTTACTTGCCAGTGTTTGGGTCTATGAACAAGGTCACACATGGCTCCTTCTAAGTCAACCCCCTTGGCTATAAATAAACGAATCACAAGCCCATAAATGGGAGGCATTTTTCATTCAGGTTAAGTTTCTTCACCAAGGATGGATCACCAGCAGGAGTTAAAAAGGGCAAACTTGTAACATTCAGACCCTGGTAGAGACTATAAAGAAGACCTGGTAAAACAAAGGTTAACTGCAGTGGAGTATATCAAAATGTGTATGAATTGTTTAATAGGAAACAGATTTGCTCAGTAAACTTTCACCCAAATCATAATTTAAAAGTTCACACCTAAAAAAACCTGCCTCCCACGATGTCTATGGTGCCATGCCAATCTTGTTCACTTCTGTAGTCAGAAAAGCCCAGAGAAAGACACGAAGGAAGAGAATTTGGAGGCCCTTGAAAAGTTAGATCAGGATGGTGAGAAGGTGGGACCAGAAGTTGAGAAGAGTGACTCAGAGGCCAGAACCAAGGACGAACCAGAGAAAGAAGAGGACACAGATACTAACGAGGCTAAGGTCAGGCAGTGTTTGACTAGTATCAAACCACTTTTTTCCCTTCTGATACAACCCTGCCTTTATTTACCTGTTTGGTCTTATTTTGGTTTTTTAGAAACAGAAGCTGGCAACCTTAAAGTTAGATTACCTTCTGGAAACAGAGGTAAGAACTTTTAACTTTTGTGGATGGTTTCTGGTAGTAGATTGCCAGCTAGTAGACTAAGCTCTCTCTGTATGTACTCAAACTGCCAAGCTTTCAGCCAGCAGGTGAGCACACTATTTGCACCACCCAAGGCCTGCTGGGTAAGAGCTTTTTACTTTAGTAAAAGAAGTAGGATAGAGATTTGTCCGGGCATAAGTCATGCCCAACAAGGGCTGACAGTGGAAGAGTTCTTAGGGGATCATCTCAGCAGGAGAGCTAGACCCTAAAGAAGCTTCCAGATGTCAAATACCACACTTTGTTTTGTTTTTTTTGTTTGTTTGTTTGTTTGTTTTTTTCAAATACCACACTTTGTTGGGCCAATCCCAGCGGCATCTGCATCCCAGTTTGTTAAAGAGTGTAATTGCTCACATTGTGTGAGATCCTAAAGGGAGGTGACAGTCAGCTTGACCTTGGCCCAGAAAAACACTCCTAGAGTCATTTGAGAAGGGATATCATGTTTGGAAAGATGGAAGGTCAGTAAAGGGGATGTAGACCCCCAACGAGACAGATTACACTGTGACTTCATCAATGGGCTCTAGTGTCCCAGAGATGATGAGGATGACACAGGATAGTGCAGATTTCAGGCTGGATGTTCCTAGTATCACTCTGAGTCATTCTCAACACGATGGCACCTAACAACAAAGTCACACTCCCAGATGTTTAGGTTATGGACACATTTGGCTACAGACGTACCAGGGCTGTATTAGGTATCTTTCTCAGGACATGTTGTAAAGGAAGACAGTTTTAATTTTCCTTCCAAAAGGAGTAGGGAATGGTGATAACATAGCAAGACATAATTTTTTAAACCAGAGAGCAAGGACTAATATGACATCATCCAGAGATTCTGGGAAGTCCTTTATTCATCCCCAAATAACTCTCTTCTCTTGGTCTTGGTTAAAGTGTCACCGTTAGAAATACATTTTGGGCCAACTCAAGATTCCAAGAGATGGTGCAATAGCTAAATGCTGAGCAGCTCAGGCCACAAATCTCTTAGTATGAGTCTTCAGCCAGCTTGGGAGAGAGGAGAGCCCACAGGGGAGGGGGTTGAAGGACACCTTCAAACTGCTCAGTTGCTCTGGCCTTGGAGGGGAGTGAAGGGACTCCCACAACTCTGGGCATTGAACCATCTCCTGGAGGATCTGGTTCTCAAGAGACCCCTAGAGGGGATTCTTGGGCTTCCTGGGGACCTGATGGTGGGTGGAGTCACCAGGGTGGAGTCAGAGCCCATGTTCCTCCCTCTTGCCCTTCTCACAGAGCTGAGTCCATGGACATCTCACTCTATACTTTGCCATTAGAGTTTCATTTCGGCTTCTCAGGAACATCACACTAAACACTTGTCAGTGTCATGTTGAATCTCACAATCATCCTAATATCCAAGCCAAGGGGCTGCTAGGACACAGAACCCACTGCCTTTTCCAGGAAGTCCTTCCTCGCTGTTGTCACCCAGGCCGTGTCACCCACTCCTCTGATTTCCATTCACAGAAACCATCTGCGTTTGTGGAGATTGATCTGGGAGACCATGCTGAGGAGGTAAAGACAAAACTCTCAGACAAAGGAGCTAAGAGCCACTACTGGACAAACTGCTTGTGGTGTCCAGGCTCAACTTTAGAGGTTTTTCCGGGGGCCATGCTCTCGCCCTTGATGCATGTCCGAGGGTGAGAGAGGCTGCAGCCAGCCAGCTCTAGGAGAGCTCTGTGTTGCTCAGGATTGGCCTTGGGAATTGAGAGAAGAAATCTTACTGCCCTTTCGGTGCCCTCCCACTCCTACCTGCACATACTCAAGCTCCTACCACGACTATCTTCTGGACCAACTTTCAGGGCCTCTTAGGGAGGATTATGATGGAATGGTAGAAAGGGCAGAGGCCTGGGAACTGAGGGGAGTTGGCTCCACAGTTGGCAGTACTCCAACAAGTCACACCCCCTCCCTGTACCTCAGTTATCTTGTCCACATAAAATAAATCTCAGAGGTTGAAAAGGATCATCACAAGGTTGATTTGCATGGAACTCAGAGTCGAGCCTGGAAAGCAGAAAGCACCACGTATTAGCTATCACCATTGTCTAGGAAAAAATTGACTGGACCTAAATTTTTCCAACACAAATAATCCAGATTTCTATTCACCTGTTACTTATATTCATTTTTTAAATTTTTTTTTCTTCATTTATGTGAAGCTTTCTCTCAGGAAGTTTAAGCTTCTGCCTGGAGGTTAAGTTTCTCCTCCAAAAGGTGGTACTCACTATTTATTTTCCTCTCGGAGCATACTCAGTAAAGAAAGCAGATTATTAACTCATCCAACAGGGCTAGATACAGAGGCATCATGTTTTCTAATGACTAAAGGAGCATCAGAAAGCTCGTAGTGATCCTGACTCGGTGTGTCAGACTCTTCAATTTACACATCTCCTACTTCACAATCTAAGCACTATGGAGATCCAAACCAAAGGTGTGTTTGCTCAGTCAGGGTCCCCTGACTGTACTTCTCCAGTCAGTGGTGTCCATTTGGTTGAAGAAAACTCAGGATTGATGCACTTCTCATTCAGCCCAACATCTATAGAAGAATGTGATTGTGCTCTAATCCTGACTCCTGGTTCCCTGTCCCCAAACATATCTTATTTCTTCTGACAGGTAGTTGCATGTACTCTAAAAGAAGACAAACAGATCCAGATGGACCCTGGATATTTGTCTGAAGATGAGTGAGTGATGTTTCTAGATCTGTAGTTGATAAGGGGGGTAAAGAGCATTTTTTCTACCATAGGTTCTGAGAGACCTCTATGTCATATGCACAGAGGAGCTAACCTGGATTCTTCTCTTTTCATTAGGCTTATATGGAGATGTAAACGTTTCTTAAGGCTGTAGGAGGAATTATAAGATGGAGAACAGGATGTGTTGCTTTTCCAAGACTCAGGATTAACTCAGACAAGTCAGACTTTAGTCATGCATTTCTCTTCACTCCTTTAGCTAAAATGTTTTTCCTTTCCACATCAGCTAGCAAAAAAAGAATAAAACATTTAGTCAGGCAGAGAGAGAGGAGAGGAAGAAGGGAATGAAGTGTAGAAGCAAGGTTGTTGTGTTGTCGATTGCCTTTGAGTCAAGCACAACTCATAGCAACCTTATGAACAAAAGACCTGAAGCCTTTCTGTAACTATCAACATTTATCAAAGTTCATAGAGTTTCAGGAGGCATGTTGTTTAGGAAGTGGATACCACTGCTGTATAACCCAGCTTTTCTCCCATTTTTTATTTATGATATTCATTAAAGTACTGTCATTGTAACTGCATTCTTCTTGATCCCTCTTTGTGACTCTTGTTTCCATTAATCCTTCTATCCTACCAATTTCTGCCTTCTGAGCTTTTTCTCTGGGCAAATACTGTCCTTTTGTCTTATATTGTTTATTATTCTAAGGAGTGACTACCTTTCTCATATTTTTATTCACCATATAGACCAGTTTACTCCTTGGATGAAAGTGGGGCCACAGGGATACATTTAGCCCAAGGTATAAAGGATAACTAATGGTGTATTACCATGGGAAAATCTGCTGTTAGGGACCTCTCCAAAGTACTGAAGAGCAATGGTGTCTCTCTGGAGACGAAGGTGCATCTGATACAGGCCATGGTCTTTGCTATCACTTATTATGCATCAGAGAGTTGGGCAATAACCAAAGAGGATAGAAGGAGAATTGATGTCTTTGAGCTGCGGTGCTAGGTATTGAGAGTACTATGGACTACTAGGAAAACAAACAGATTCATCCTGGAAAGGGTTAAACTGGGTGGCTCCTTGGAGGCAAGGATTCTGAGGCTCCGTCTAACATACTTTGGACATGTTGTAAGGACTTGGAGAGGGATATCATGCTTGGGAGGGTGGAGGGACAGTGCAGGAGGGGAAGGCCCTCTATGAGGTGGATTGATTCAGTGACTGGGGTAATCAGGATGGGTGTGTCAGAGGCAATGCGATTGGCACAGGACAGAGCAGAGTTTAGGCTGTTGTACATAGGGTCGCTATGAGTCGCAAGCGACTCGATGGCACATAACAACAACAACAATGGCCATAATGTTAGGGTTCCTCCCTAATTTTCCATTAGATTAGCAAGTCTGGCCCTTTTTATAATTCTGACTTTTGTTCCACATTTTTTACCACTCTGTCCAGGACTTTATACTGTGATTCTTTTAGATCAGTTGGCAGGAAAGCTGAACACCAGCTAGTTCATCTGGTCTCAAAGTTATAGCAGTTGGCCGATAGTCCTTGGACAAATTGTGCGTATACAGCTTAGCGTCTCCTCCCGCTTCTGTGTTCCAGAAAAAAAAAAAGATCAATAGATACTCCTTAGATGGTCACTCCCAAGCTTTTGAGACTCCAGTCATCAAATAGAAAGCAGAGAACTACCTCTATGGACTATGTTAGGTGCTTAATGTCTTCTATGCTTGTATCAACTATACTGAACAGATGATGGCTCTGCAGATAAAAAAGGTGATTTGGTCATAAAAACGGAGTCATCCTAGAGATGTTACGTTCTTAATTACCATCTTTGAAAATGTACGGCATTAGTCTGTATTGCTTTGTTTGTTTTTCAATAGCTGATAAATTGTTGATGTGATTTTACTACTTTTCTTTAGTCTGTTATGTATGGGAGGAGAGAAATGCTATAAGGAAGGTTTGTTCCATCTCAACCCCACATTCTCACATCTGTTTTCATCTCTATATAACAGAAATCTCAAAATGCCAGCACTGTTATGTCACATTCTCACATCTAGGGCTTTCTTACTTTTCAGTGAGTCTTTTCTAAGATTTTCTTTTCTAAGTGATAGCTTTGTTTTTCTTACTCTTACTGGACACAGTGACACTTCCTTTCTTAGAGAATGTAATGAATTGAATCAGATCGCACACAGCTTGATCTATTGTTTCTGATCTGAGAGCTGGATACTCCTAGCATCTAAGCCTTTCTAGGTTTCTGCCACTCCACTCCCTGTCATCATTCAGTTCTCCTTCCCACTAAAGAGTACACTTCCTGCACAGACAGGAAGTGTGTCTGGTCACAGGAAACAGAAGCTTTGTGATTATTTCCAAGATGCAGATGAGCCAAGATTCACACCTCATGTTTAGAAAATGCTCTTTAATTTACAAATGTCGTTTCCTATTTTGCCTTACTTTGAAATCCACCTGAACCGTATGAGAGGGAAATGACAGATAGCTCCATTGCATCCACTTTGTAAATGAAGAAACAGTTTTAGTAATTTGCTGGGGCAGATTTATTAATGGCAGTGGCAAATCTTAACCCCAGACCTCAGACTTCAGGACTCAGGTCTTTCCTCTGGGTTATGTTGCCTCCCTTCAGAGTTCCTTGAGAAAAATACATCTATACTGCCCCACTGGTTGGTAGGAAAATAGCTGCTGCTTCAAATAACTTCTCACCTTCATTACCCCAAATCCATCCCATTTCCTGTCCGGGATGCAGCCCTTCAAACAATGTCTTATTTTTTTTTATTCTACAACTTTTCAGCATTTTCCGTTGCTGTAACAATTGTCTTCTAGTCACTGATGCTTGGCCTTGTTCTTTTAAAAGAAAATAACTTGACTCTAGATGCAAGCACCTCTTCTTCCATTTCTTGAGGTAAATTCGAGCTGCTTGGAATGAATGGTGAGACTGGAGGAAGAGGTATGGCTTGTCTCCTCCATGTCCTAGGTATTGACACTTCTAGAATGAGAATAAGATAGAGATTGTCTTAACTGATTACATGTGGGTGACAAGGAGAGGCTTTGCTCTTGTTCTATCAGATACTAGTAAGTTCTGTTGGTATAGGGATCTCCCTGTGGTTAGCTGTGTGGCTTTTTTGAGGCAGAGTCTAATTTCACCCCACCCAAACTTGACATTTCCTGCTGGTACCTACACCAAAGTCCATCTGTATGTGAAGTAGACCATTACCTGGTCAATGTTCCTTGGGTACCCAAAGCTCAGGCTTTTCTGTGAATTCCCACACTGCTTGCATTGAGTCATAAGAGCTGTGGAGATCCTCCTGAATGCACTCTGTGGGCCTTGGAAGACTGGAGAGAGTAGGGTGGGACTGCCTTTGCTTTTCTAAGCTCACTTCCCCTCAGGTCCCACTAGTAAGGACCATCCTCAGGGCCTTCTGCAGACTAAAATGTCTAAGTAAGTCCTGAACATCAGTAGTTTGTTTATTTGTTGTGGGCTCAGATTGGCCTCAAACCCTGAGATGCACCTGGCCTTAAAGGAGAGGAAGTAGCCACTTGCCTGGACAAGTCTCTCCCTTTCTCTGGTCCTCTACCTCCACTAGCCAGCATGCTGTTGAGTGTTCTGGTAGATATTGTAGAGCTAGAATCTCCGTAGAGCTAGAATCTCCGGAGTGTCTCAACCTCCTTTGAACTTGACTTTGAGCCTTTGCACAAGTTCAGGGGCAATGCATAAAGTCATAGTCACACATCACCTACTACAATAGAGACAAGCTGAGGATAAGCAGGGAAGGCTATTCCTGGAGCCTTCCTGTTACATGCTTCAGACATTGCTAATTTCTGATTAGTCACACTTGCCGTGTGTGCCTTCCTTTACGTAAGAGAAATCCAAGATGCTGAGAGAGATCAGATGACTTTATCGAAGATCACACCACTTAACAGCAAATGAAAGTAAACATTCACCAAGCGCACACACTGCACCAGTCACTCTCACATATATCAGCCCAGAAACTGCACATGACTCAGCCGGCAAGGTCTCGGTCTACATTTCTGCTTTTGATGTAAGTCAACTGCCACCACCACACTTAGATTATGTTAGGTAGGTGCCTTCCAGTAGACTAAGATTCATAGTGACCATAAGGACAGCAGATTGCAAACTTGTCCTGTCCTGCATCATCCTCACGGCCTCTGCCATGTTCAAGTTCATTATAGCAGTCACTGGGTCAATGCAGCTTGTTGAGGTTCTTTCGTCTGTGGGAAGCTGGTACTCGTTCCAGTCCTGTTTGCCAAAGGTAGTTCATATTCATACTTGTCCTCCCCTACTCGGCAGTCTTCAGTTGCTCTTCCTCTTAGCACCTTTCTCCAGTTGTCTTCCTTTGTTGCTTTTCTAGGGCTCCAGTTACATGGTTCCTTGGTAAAAATAGCCTGGTAGATGTTAGACTGCTGTTGCTACCACCCAGTTCTTCCCATAACTGTTACGTAACTCTGGTTGCCATCAATGAGACAGAACATACTCTGTTTTGCTTTTGCTGCTGGAAACCAAATGGCTGCTTAATTGAGCACTTTGCCAAGGCACCGCCAGAGGCTGTTTCTCAAACCTTTTATTTTAAAAACCAGGAATTTATGAATCTGAACCATGAAGACATGCAAAATCCACATCTCCCATTGCTTCCCAAACCGCTGTTGAGTTTTTAATAATCATGGGTCGTGTAGGATGTTGAGTTTCTGGTTACACTTTGAAGACTTAGTCTAACAGAAGACTCTGAGAGATCAAATCACTAAAAATCCATCACCACATCCCTAGGCTCCAACTTTGAGGATATTGCTTTTGGTATAGCAAAATGTCTGTGTCCAAACATATAATGGATTGATCTCATTTTCCAACATAATAATCAATATTTTTAGGTGCTATCAAGTTGACCAGAGCTTATAGTCACCCTGTGAACAACAGATCTAAACCTTGCCCCATTCTGTTGTTGTTGTTGATTGCCTTCAAGTCGAGCACAACTCATAACGACCCTATAAACAAAAGACCTGAAGCCCCTCTACAACTATCGACATTTATCAAAGTTCATAGAGTTTCTGGAGGAATGTTGCTTAGGAAGTGGACGCCTCTCCTGCTTCCAAACCTGTCATAGAATGTTACTGGTTGAGTCACCTGTGATCATAGCGACCCTACGTACAGCAGCTCTGTACCCTCCCTAATTCTGACACATCAACCCCCATTGCCCCAGTCACTGTATTAATCCATCTCATCCAGGGTCTTCCTCTCCTGTGCTGTAAGTCCACCCTTCGGAGCTCTGACATGTTTGAGAGCATTGTTATTATCTTCTTCACTTTCATTCAATTGTAGAGTTTATTTAATATTTTGGTATATTTTTGGACGTGTTGTAAAAAAAGACAGGTCTTTAGAGAGGGACATCATGCTGGGTAGAGTAGAGGGACAGCGCAGGAGGGGAAGACCCTCTATGAGGTGGATTGATTCAGTGACTGGGGTAATCGGGATGGTGTGTCAGAGGCAATGAGATTGGCACAGGATAGAGCACGGTTTAGGGCTGTTGTACATAGGGTCTCCATGAGTCGCAAACGACTCGACGGCACATAACAACAAGAACAGCAACAACATATCTTTTAAAATGTAAATTACTCTGATTTTTGAGCCTGAAGCCATGAGCCCCTCTTGCCCTGTTTGAAGGCTGCTATGACATAGTTACTTAGGAGCTGCCACTTAGCTTCAGCAGCTTGGAGCAGCAGCTGCACAGTGAAGTCTGCCAGGCAGATCGAGTGCCCGAACACAAGGGCCTGGCAGACAGAGGCAGCACTGGAGGAAAGGCCAGCCTGGGCAGCCGTCAGGCAGCCTCTCCACATGCACCCTGGCCCTTTACAGATGCCTGACAGCAGGACTCTGCATACCCCAACTCATCCCTCTGCTCCACACCTCTGCTCACTTGCAATCTCAGATTTCTACATGTCTGTTAAGAGTTGTCTTTTCAGGCCTTGCAATGAGGACCTCATTCAGTTCGCAGTTTAAACTGACACTCAACATTCGCTAGACAGTAGGGTGGTGCTGGCATGGAGCCAGGATGATTGCTGTGAAGGGAAGGAGGGGGCCACTGCTGTATCCCAGGGGCAGCCTGGGTTGGAAACAGAATATTTCTGAAAGGTCACACTACGGGGAAAATAAACTCCAGCACATGTGAGGGAGAGGAGGGTGTTTTAGAAATGGTACAGGGCTGGGAATCAGGCTGCACCAAGTAAAGGGTTAGTGAAAGAAAGGCAGACTCTCAATGAGCTGGACAGACACAGAGGCTGAAGAAAGCATTTGAGCACAGCAGAGATTGTAAAGATGGTACTAGTACAGACAAAACGTCTTCCTGTTATTCACAGGGAAGTTTTAAGTCAAAGTCAAATCGATGATACTTAGTAAGAACCACCTGTGGCAGCTTTGGAGCAGAGGTGTCTTCAGGTTGCGTCTCAGTTCTCTTGTCTCCACGTTGAAAGATTTGATTCACTCTGTCTCCTAATGGGCCCCTTCTGGACCCACCATACTATCTAAGACCAAAGGCCATCTGGACAGACTGAAGGACAACCAGTCAGTTGACCTAGAAAAGAGCCTGGCTTTGTGTAAGGTCTGATTTTATAGGCAAAACTCTGACAGTGTCTCCAGCTTACACAACCTTGACTTCCAGGTTCTTAATGTAATGGACTGCAGCAGAGGTGAGGCAGGGGTTACCAACTGGGCCCGTGGACTCTACTGTTAAGGTAGTACCAACAGTGTAAGCCATGAGCTACTCTGGTGGAAGAATCACCCCTATCTCAATACTTATCCTTTCCCCCTTTGGTCTCCAGGATAAGGACCAGTTGGGTATGCTGTATTCCCTATACAACTAAAAAGAAGGCGAAGGAAAGTGCATAGTCACCCAAGAAGGTAAAGTACACTTGGGGAAGAATGGAGTCGTGATGTACTGTTACGAGAAAGGGGAACTAGAACAGAAAGTAGAAGAACAGAGGTGGCAGGTAGGCCATCTTCAATCTCTCCTTCTCCCCGGATCCTGCTCAAGACCCTCCTTATTTGGTCTTTAGCCAAGTTGTCCAGTTTTGTCTCAGTCCTGGGGAAGAATGACAGATACAGAGTTCTCAGCCCTCTGGTCTCTGTGACCAAAACCATGCCATCCACACTTGATTAAGGGGTGAGGATCCATGGGGTACCATAGTATGACACTGGCTGTGAACTATTGGACTCCTCGGGTGAGTGAGAATGATGTATCTTTCTTTGGAGAAAATATATAAAACAAAAATATTTGATAATTCAACAATTTTTGGATGCATATCATAATTCATTGAATAAAGTTATCAATAATTTAATTTTACTTGACTCCACAAGCAATTCAGGGTAGCGGCAGTTAAGAAATCAAACAACATACTGCACTGAGCTGCCAAGAATCTCTTTAAAGTGCTAAGGACCAAAGGATGTTAACTTAAAGACTAGGGTACAACAGACCCAAGCTGTGGCATTTTCCGTTTTCAAATATGCATGTAAAAGTTGGACGATGAATAAGGAAAACTGAAGAATAAGTGATGCCTTTGAATTATGGTCTTGACAGAGTGTTGGATATTCCACAGACTGCCAAAAACCAAGCAGGTCTCTCCGGGAGGAAATGCTCCTTTGAGACAAGGATGGTGAAACTTGGGGTCAGACCTTGGGAAAAGACAACATTCTAGGAAAAGCAGCGGGTCAGCAAAAGAAAGAAAAATCCTTAGGGTGATGGATTGACATTGATTGCAACAATGGCCTTGAGCATGGTGGAAATGGTAAACCATAAGGTCAAGGTCTTGGGATTTTATTAATATTCCAGACTGGTTACAATTCACCAGATGTTTTGCAGGAAGAAGACAGGTAATCTCCTCCCATGTGCCTTGACTGCCCCTGAAAACCCCACTGGAGGGTCAGCTAGGAGTCTGTTCTGACTCGACAGCACTAAACAACAATCTACCAGACTACTACTAACCTTTGTATTTTTTATGATTTTGAATTTTAGTCACACTTTTCCCCCAACTTTATGAGTGAACATTTTTACTCTCTTTTAGAGCGATCAGTCGTGACAGCCTGACACACTCTATCTCTATTGGCCTCAGGGTCAAGGTGACTGAAGTTCATGGCAGGGGATACATTAGTTCTTTGAATTAATAGTCTTTATTCTCCCCCTCTCAAATCTTCTTTGCTATGATCTGGGAGTGATCCATTGTTGTACCTTAAATGGCTGCTTACAAGCTTTTAAAGCCAAGTCTTAGCAAATTATTTATAATGAAAAGTATAGGAGTATGGAAATAAATTAATCAACAGAGTCACCTAGTGGCATATTCTTAGCACAACGTTTTTAAGCTGTTCTCTCTTTTTTCCCCTCTTACAGTCAACATGCCATCAGAGATCTTTAAGGAAGTGAAAAGAAGGCCAACACGATGGTCATCACTTTTACAGAGTTTTAATTCTTCATGTAATCATTCACTAAAGGACATGCTGGAATGTAAAGGCATTTTTCAATCATAGTCAGTTGATGACACGAGGACTGTTTAATTACAATCATGTTGTCAGATATCCACTCAACCAGCCCTTCATGGAATATTCCAGGGCCTGAGTTGTGTGTGCTCTGAAGATTGGGGTGCAAAGACTCACCTGCCATGGTTCCTGTGAGGAATATTAGAGCTTAGGGAGAGAGTGTCTGGCCATTATGGTCTTAACACACACGGCCAAGTTCATCCTGAAAACTAAGCCCAACTTGCACCGCTGACACTGCATACTTTGAAAGCTACCATAAACACCAACACGAAGAACAAAGCTCATTGTGCCTTCATCTCGAACATTCTGGAACATTCTGGGTGCCTGTGGGGAAAAAAGCTCCCTGAGCACAAAACTGATCCTGGACTAGAATAATGCCAGTCTTGTGAGAGAGATCTCGTTCCCCAAATCTTTTCCACTATAATTGGAATAATTTCTTCACTTTTTTCTACTGCTAGAATTCCCTAGATCAGAGTGTTTCCTGTTGTTGCTGTTTGTGTTTTGTAGCTTTTTAATGTTAAAAACAAAGGCCAAAATGCCCTCCAGAAATGTAGATATTTTAGGTGACGGATTGAGTAGCTAGTCCCACGTGTCTGCCTCGGAGGCATCAGGTCTCTTTAACCCAAAGCCCTCAGCTGGGCACAGACAGGGCTGTGGGAGGAGACAGTTCTGGGGAAGACTGAGAAAGATTAGACCTGGACCAGGTACTCCGGTTACTGTAGAGTTGACTCTGACTCACAACGGCCCCATGTGCCAGAACCGGACCCCGTGGCGTTTTCAGCGACCACCTTTTTAGAAACAAGTTTAGAAACAAGCCTTTCTTCTGAGACACCCATGAGTGGACTCAACCACCAACTTTCAGTTACCAGCCAGTTCAGTATCTGTCTGTGTGACCTAAAGATTCCCATCAGGGTGTAGAGGGTTCTCCTGGCTTCTAAAGGTCTCAGTTGATGAGGGTGCTCATGAGGGATGAGGCTACTTCCAATAGCAGACCATCCTGAAGGGATTACGGGGGCCAGTCCTACGCCGTGGAGAGGAAAGAGTACACTGCCTGCCTCTTGTCTGACTGCAGAACTATACTGTCCTCATTCCTGTCCTAGAACTCAGACTTTAAAACATGTATGTTCTGAGAATCCTCCCTGGTTCCCCTTGGCAGGAAAGAGAAAGTCTGAGAGGACAGTTCTGGGTGGGTGGGGTTGTGTGTACGAATAGAGAATCTCCCCTAATCCCCAACCCTGCACTGGGTCTGGAACAGGCTTCTAGGTGCTGTTGCTGCTGCCCAATTTCTCCAGCATTTAAATGTCCACAAGGGGGAGTAGTCTGCAGTAGTGGTCTGCCTAGAGGAATCACAATTAGTAATTAGATGATATTTCTTTTTTTTTTTAATTTTTTTTTATTGGGAAAAACATATTGGGGGTACAAGGAGGTGAGGGTTGGGGGCAGAAGGGTGAGGATGGGCCAGGATGCAGTTGCAGAGCTGCACAGGTTGGTCGGTAGGGGGAACAGGTGAAGGAAATGATGAGGGTCCAGTGGGGACCAGATGCTACAGAGGAATGACAAGCATTTTCCAATAGTAATTAAACCAACTGTCTTATTGATTTGGGAATTGGATGCCGACTCTCTGGCTTCTTCATGCTGAACAGGGACGTAGATATAAAGGGGGGAAGGGAGGATGCTTTATCACCTTACTGGTGGTCTTGGGTTACAGCTGCTTGCCTTCTTGCTCCTGAGGGCCACGACGGTTTGCCCCGAGCCGGGGGCCAAGTGCAGCCCGCCCCGGGCAGGGGGCCACTACGGCTCACCCCGGGCAGAGAGCCGAGGGCAGCCCACCCCGGGCAGAGGGCCGTGACGACTCGCCTCGGGCAGGGGGCCGAGGGCAGCCCACCCCAGGCAGAGGGCTGCGACGGCTCGCCCCGGGCAGGGGGCCGAGGGCAGCCCACCCCAGGCAGAGGGCCGCAACGGCTTGCCCCAGGCAGGGGGCCGCGATGGTTCGCCCCGGGCTGGGGGCAGAGGGCAGCCTGCCCCGGGCAGAGGGCCACGATGGCTGAAGTAGTCTTTTTTTAAAAAAGAAGAAGAAAAAGTGTGTGTGTGTGTGTGTGTGTGTGTGTGTGTACCGTCAAACTGGATCTGACTGGTACAGGAGACTGCCCCTCCTTCTCCAGCAGAGCATGAAGTAGAGTCTGGGTGTTTCCCCCCCCCCCAGGTGCCTGTCGGGGCCTGGGTTTCAGCTGTCCACACCACAGCAGTGGGCAACGAGCTTAAAGCCCCTGATGGCTCTGGGCGCTGACTCTCACCAGTGGCTATGGATGAAGTCACAGGCGATTTTCAGCTAGGGCCAGTAGATAATATTTCTTAAGTTTCTTACCTCCACTATGGATGATGCCTGGTAAGCCTCAATTATGTTCTCAGGATAGTATAATGGACAAAGAGTAGAGACAGATTGTCATCCCATTAAGTTACACTCCAGGTTAAATGGCTCTGACAGCCTGTTTCCTATTCTATGAGTAAAACCTATTTGCTCTGGTACTAGTCTATGGAACATTAATCATTGGTGGGTGCAAGACACTCTGTTAGGGACAGAGTGTGTTCCTTTGGGGCTGCAGGGTGGGTTCAACTCAGGGAGCAGTCCAAGGATGGAGTCTGGTGGAGCCTGAAGAAGACCAGAATAGAGATAGACATCATCTCATTTGATTCTAACAAAACCTCATAATACAGGTAAGGAAAGAGTGATTCCCATTTCACTGATTAGAAAACTAAGATTTAGAGAGACAGGGGACACAATGGACCAAAAAGAACAGGGAGCAGCTGGAAGACTGGTATATTGCCACTGTATTAGATGTGAAATGTGCATTGAGCCCGGAATTTTCTGAAATGCTTTTCTTGTGAGCAGAGGGCTTGCCTTCTGGAGTGTTTTTAATTTCTTTAATCCTTGACCCTTTTCTGCTTCACCACAGTGTCTGAAATTTTCCTTATTAAAGTCAGTGGTCCTGCTAGCTCAAATGTCACCTAAAAAGACAAGTTACCATAAAAAGCAGAGACCTGGGTGAGGAGGGAATCAACTTTCAGTTTCAATGAGAGACTCTAGAGATGGCTGCCCAGGACAGAGGTGGGCACCAACCACACATGCAGCCAGAGGACACAGAGGGCCTTATAGTTCCCATTTCCCGCTAAAGTTGACATCACCTTTAAGGAATCTGTGTGAAGCAGCCCATCTCACCTCCCATGAGGCAGTGAGGAGGTGCAGAAATAGCTGTGCACCAGGAGGCAGACAACCTGGCTCCTCAAGCACAGATGATGATGTGCAAATCTTGTCGGAGCTCATTTTGCGCATCAGTGGCAGGCTCATTCAAAGAGCTGAC